CGCTGGGCGACCCTGCGCGCACGCGCAGAGGGCGGCTGGGGCGAGGGGCTGCGGGAGGAGCCGAGCGGAGGCTGCCGCTTTCGATTCTCGGTCTCCCCTCCTTCTCTTTGTTTAGGACTGGTCTACTCCCACCCTTTCGATCCTGGGTGGAAGAGAGAAAGGAAGGAAACCTTAACGGTTGGAGCCAAGAGCGGGGGGAAGCCTAACGACACAAACTAGGGCTGGTGGGGCGGTCAGTGGAGCTGTTGAGCCCTGTAGTTGAGGGGGAGGGGAGCTTGCTTTCTGGCGTCGTCGTTCTTAAATCGGTTTCATGAGCTACTTCCCTTTCCCTGCCTTTCCCCAAGTGTCTTCTAGGGAATGTATGGTTTATCAGATTTGCCGAAGATAATTGTAATGTAATAACGAATACACTGAGCCTGTTAGTGCTCCTTTTGATAACTGCTGTTTGTCACTGCTGGGAAAGGAAAACAAAGAATCCAGATAGGTCTCTGAAGGCTTTCGTGTGGGAGAGTGGAAACCAGCTGTCGCAAGAGACTTTTGAATTCTGATAATCAATAGCCTGTATAGGTAGTTGGAGATTTAAGGCCGAATTATTAAAGGAATTGTTGCCTTTTGTGTGAAGCAGTGTTTTTGTAAACATACTTGTCAAGGAAGAGATTTCTTAACACTAATTTTGCTAATTAAAAACAGTTGAAAGTAGGTTAAAATTGTATTTTTTAATTCAGGCTGTAGAAAATGGTGAAAGAAACCACTTACTATGATGTTTTGGGAGTCAAACCTAACGCCACCCAGGAAGAATTGAAAAAGGCCTACAGGAAACTGGCCTTGAAGTACCACCCTGATAAGAATCCCAATGAAGGAGAGAAGGCAAGTGGTATATATTTATATATAATCTGAAATGCAGGTGTAGAGTGTTTCGATTGTGGCCTGAAATTTAGTGTCTTAACAATATATTGGCTGAGTTCATAACTAGTGTTTTTAAAGTGAAATATTCCCCTTTTCCCAAACAGTTTAAACAGATTTCTCAAGCTTATGAAGTACTCTCTGATGCAAAGAAAAGGGACTTATATGACAAAGGAGGAGAACAAGCCATTAAAGAAGGTGGAGCAGGTGGTGGTTTTGGCTCCTCCCCCATGGACATCTTTGATATGTTTTTTGGAGGAGGAGGAAGGATGCAGAGAGAAAGGAGAGGTAAGGAAAACCTAGTGCACAGGAGAAATTAATGAATTTGTCTGGGTAAATGTTCACATGTAGGCATCTTAGAACTGACTTAACTGTCACCTTGATTTATAGTATAGGTTTTGGACTTTAATGGTTTGGGGGGGTTGTTTATTTTTAAAGATTTATTTATGCATTCAAGAACTGCGGTTCAGGTGGGGGTGTAGATGGGGGGAGAGAATTCACCAGAGAGTGGAGAACAGAACAGGCAGATAACTGAAATAACACTGCTGAGGGGAGCAGCTGGCAAGACAGAGGTCTACTGCCCACATGGCCAGATTGAACTCACCCTGCAATTGCTTCAGGGTAGCTTCATAGTGCTGAGACTTAACCATTTGCACCACCAGGTGTTTGAGGCTTTTTTCTTTTTTTCTTTTTTCAGTTTAGTAGGAAAAGGAAAAAGAAAAAAGGCACCTCCATAGGCATAGGCAGGCAGGACAGCTGCCTTTTGCCAAGGCAGCTACAATACTGACTTTTTTTTTTTTAATTTATGTATTTTATTCATACAGAACTGGGGTACAGGCCAGAGATGCAGAAGGTGAGAGAATTCACCAGGGACAGAATGGGGAACAGAACAGGCAGATCAAGAAGTACACTGCTGAGGGCAGCAGGCGGGTCAGGAGAGGTCTGCCACACCATGTGGTCACCTCTGGGGCAGGCGGGGATCGAACTAATGCGGAAGCGGCTTAAGCTTCTTAGTGCTGTTCTTTAACCCGCTGTGCCACCAGGGAGGGCCTGCAATACTGACTTTTAAACTAAGATTTGATGTAATTAAAAATAGGCAAGCCAATTGAGTACTATCAAATGAGTACTTCTAAAGCTTTAGAGACATATGTATACAGGCACAACTTTTGTAGGTTACCACGTATTAATTAAAGGAACAAAGTACAGGAACATAATTTTCACAACTCTTTTTTGCAGAACTAACTTAATCCTCCTAGGAATCTAGTGGGAGGAACAGTGATGTTTTTTAATCAAGTGTGAGTGAAATTTCAATAATCTAAAAATTTCAAGATTATAGAGATGGGTTTAGACACAGGTTCATTGCTTCTGATGTAACCTATCAGTTTGATCTTGCTGCAGCTTTATCATAACAAAATATGTGCCTTTAACATTTAACAGAAATGTGTTTTTGCAGGCCATGGAAATAACAGTATAGTCTTCCCTACTTTGTTCCCAGTATAACTTACATGTGCAAACATGGACTAATGGATATAACCCATTTTAGGGAGTGTAAAGTATTTCATTTCACTTGAGTTTTTAAGATCAGAAAGAAAAGTGGAAATTTAGTTTTTCTTGAAGGGAGAGTTCTTGAATTAAGGAATTTATCTTAATTTGCAGTCAAAATCAACTGCTTAGAATGATGTCTCCCACAAAATAGTGGTTTATTTTAAATGCGGATTCACCAGGAAACAATGTAACTGAGATCAACGAGTGGTCTCTCTTGTGATTTGAGTCTAGGAAAGCAACTTGCTTAATCAAACTTAAGATGTTTGTTTTTTTTCCCTTTCCTTATACTCTTGACTTTGTAAAGCCACCTTAAGAAAGGTATCTTTCAGATTGCCAAACCAACCAAATGGGATTATAGTTGATAAAAGAATACAAAGATGGAGCCTAGGAGCTGAAGGATGTAGTTAATGGTACTAAACCCTCCTTTAAGAACTAAAAATGTTCATTAAGCAGGTAGGAGTTTGAGGACTTTTTTCACTTTAATTAGGCATTAATGTTTTGTAGTGGATAAAGTCCTTGTTGCTGATCACTATCTGGAACTTATTAACCATTGACAGGTGACTTTCTATAGCCCTGTTATCCTTGGATGAGTTCCATTTTCCACATTTAAATGCTGTAACATTCCTTTGAAGCCCCTGTTCACATAGATATAGATTAGATTAAGTCAAAACAAATTTCAGTTCCTCAGAAACAACATGTTCACATGCCCAATTGCCTAGTGTATTGAACAACATTTTCCATTGCCACAGAAAGTTATATTGTACCAGCACTATAATAAAGAGTGTAAGAAATGTGCTAGCCCTGCAGTAAATGTGCTGTCCAACTTCAAAAAGTAAGAAATTTGGTATTTTTCTATGACAGTGAATAAATATATCAGTTTCCCTAGCCACTGTTGACTAAATGGGACATAGTGTAACTGAAGGTTTTTTTGGATGAAGTAACTTACCCTGTTGCTCAATAGCATTTTGAAAGATTCAAAGAATATAATTGGGACAGAAATGTAGGCTTGGATTTATTGTGAAATACACCTAGTTTAAAATACCTATATATCGGTAAATTGCTCAGTAGCTCTGTTTTCCTCATCTAAAATTACATCAGTTTTGAGGTGCATGCATGATAATATGGTCAACACTGCTTTTAAAGTAGGTGCTCAGTAATAGGTAGACCCTGTGAAGTTCATTTGTCATCTTTTTAATAGTGCATTGAACACAAATAAGATGCAGCATTTTTGATTTTTAATGAGCAATATTTCGTTCTAGGTAAAAATGTTGTACATCAACTGTCAGTAACCTTAGAAGACTTATATAATGGTGCAACCAGAAAGCTAGCTCTGCAAAAGAATGTGATTTGTGACAAATGTGAAGGTATGGTCTTAACATCTTTAGTAACAAAGGAAACTAAAAGACTTTCTGGATATATAAAACTTGATGAGTAATTTACCCAGTTCTTTGGAGAATGCAAGAAAACCAACTAAAGAAATAATATTGAAATCTTTGCCCTGTTTTATGTGCACAGTTTAAATTAGGTAATCTGTGAGATTAGTCTAATTTGTCCTTTTTTTCCTCCTCAGTGTTATTCAGAGATGAGCTCATTTCACTAAAACCTAAAAAATGTCATTCCAATCACTTACCTGAGTTAGTGTCCTAATTTTGAACACCCAGCTGTTTAATTTTACTGACTATAACCCTATAAGCTTCTTTTTTTTTAACCTTTTCAAATTATGATTATTGAGGAAAAGTTGATTTACATCATTGTATATGATTTGGGTTTTAACAGGTTTAGAAAAGTTTTGTTATTGCATCAAAAAAGATGATCTTTAAAAACTATTAAAATATTCTTCATAACTACTTGTCGCTCAGAAGCTGATTTTCTTTGTATACCTAAACTTGAAACAACATATTGCAACAACTAAATGCAGAAGCAGTTATGAAAGTCCACTTATCTTTTAATACAGATCTTTTTTTAATCCTGTAAGCTTTTTTATAAATACAACTTACTGTTGGAAATTATTATCTTCTAGAGAACATTTCAATAATGTTCTCATTTCACAGTCATAAAGAAGTGCTAATACTGTGCTTTTTGCAGAGCACATGTTTAATACATATCAAAACACTAGGTAGAGTCTTAGAATTGCATTTCATCAACTCTTAACAATAAAATGTAGTGTTGAGGGGACTTTCTCAGTAAAAAAAACCTCATTACTGTGTGTGATACTAAAGTCATACCTTGTTTTAACTGATTAGGTCGAGGTGGTAAGAAAGGAGCTGTAGAGTGCTGTCCCAATTGCCGAGGTACGGGGATGCAAATAAGAATTCATCAGATAGGACCTGGAATGGTTCAGCAAATTCAGTCTGTGTGCATGGAATGCCAGGGCCATGGGGAGCGGATCAGTCCTAAAGATAGATGTAAAAGCTGCAATGGAAGGAAGATAGTTCGAGAGAAGAAGATTCTAGAAGTTCACATTGATAAAGGTACGTTCTAAGCCACTTACCTCAATTTTACTGAGTGCTGCAACAAGTTATTAATATTATAATTGTCAAACCTATCCTTCATAGAATTGTAGGTCTGATCCTATGCCAAAAGACTGCTCTTAGCGACACAGTAAACACTAGTTTCTCGTGAATACTTTTTCTACACATTTGTGGGCAATAACATTAAGAATCTCTTCACTTGATATAGTACTGATATCAGTAAATCAATACTGTTACAATTTTAAATCTCTTCAACTAAACAGTTACACCATTTTTTTCATTGTAATTAACTTCTAAGAGATTAGGTAATGAACTGCTGGTAGTCGTCATTTTCCAAACTAATGAGTGTGTTTTATTAACTGATTTGTAAGAACTTAGATTGTTAATATTGCTGTCAGTTACTGCCTATTGGGTTGCATATTAGAACTGCAGCTCTTTTCATGTTAGGTTTTATTTTTTATATTGCCAGTGTTTTAATTATATCAATTTATGAAAACATCTTAAAGAACATTTGAATCTCTAACCCAGCCACTCTGATGTATTACATAATCCATATTCAGCTGTTTTTAAATGAAACTTAGCATTACAGGTACTGATATGATTATGTTAATATTGTGAGTATCTCATGAATATGTGCATTTAATCTAATTTTTGCAATGGTATTTACCTGTGTGAATTAAGATGCCACCTTCTTCCATTCTCCCCTCCCTTAATTGACAGGTATAAAATGGGTGCTCTCCTACTACCCAACAGCTTGCACTGGGGAGGCAAGTGAAGTCATTGTGCTGTTTGTACCCTTGTTTTTTTACAGTAGTGGAACACCTTTTGAGTTTAACTACTTCACTAGTGTAAACAGTTACTTTTCCTCCTGCATAAGTATAAGATACAATGTGTTTGTCAAGTGTGTAACTGTTATTGTGGCTTTTAATTCCTTTTTTTCTTAAAGTTACATACTTAAGTATTGATGGATTAATTAGGATGTCTGGATTTGTTTCAGAATGTGTGTGGGGTGAGCATGAATTGAGGTGTATAAAGCATGAAGTTTGAGTCATGAGCTTACAACTGCTAAATATATAGATTGATAGCTATGTATATATTCCATGTACTGATAAATGCATTTATAGAGGTTTGATGTTTTCCATAATAGTGAGAAACAGAAGTTGTTAGGTTACTTCATTAATCACTCATTGAGATAAATAATCATGTGGTGATGCTGCAGCACAGTGATTTGCAAACACACAAGTTATGTTCTACTAGGTGTTGTCCTAAGTCCTCCCTGAAGAAAAATATTATGCAGGTGGGGGGAAATTGCCATAAAATATCAGCCCCTAAAATATTTTGCTCTTTCGGAAAGTAGTTCTAACTCTAGCCATTGGGTTAAAGGTATGTCCTAGCAATAAGTAAACTTTTTTCAAAGAAAGAACTGAACGGAATCATTTTTCAGCAAAAGATTCTTAAAATTTTTAAGTTATGTATAGATTCACTACATATATATACTAAAAATACACTAAGAAGAAAAATTTTATATGTTCTGATGCTAGACTTAATGTAAATACCTTGATACAGGTTATTCTAAGTAGGTAATGAAACAGTAAACATTTAATGTATACACAAACATTTAATAGGCTGAGCATCTACCCTTACTTGGTAGTTAAAGGTATAAAATTAACCATTTGTTTTTAGGCATGAAAGATGGCCAGAAGATAACATTCCATGGTGAAGGAGACCAAGAACCAGGACTGGAACCAGGAGATATTATCATTGTTTTAGATCAGAAGGACCACGCTGTTTTTACTAGGTATGAGTTTATCTACTCTCTTTTTTTTTTTTAATACCGCTTTTTATTCTTATACTATTTCCTGGAAATAGCCTAAAAAAGTATAGCAGGAGAGTTAGGTAGTATATAATGTTTTTTGTAAAAGATTGTTTACTGTTAAATATATTCATTAAGAAGTAGCCCCCAAAAGAGAGATTTTAGCATTCTGTCTAAATTTCAGTGAATTGTTAACTAATGTGAAAGTGGAAGGATATATTTTTGGAGGTGTTTTATGAGTATAAATCAAGTAGGTAACAAGGTGGGTTAGGGGAAATAAGAATTTTGCCTTCAGTCATTATAAACAACTAGAAATAACTAAGCTCTGACTCAGCCTGAGTTTATGAAACTTGGATTGGCTTTTTAAAATTATTTGTAAATAAGTTGTTATAACCATTTTTATAAACTAAAATAGTATATGGATTTAGGTCTGTTGGTATAGCATATCCAGTATTGTGTGTATGATGAACTTACAATGATGTAATAGTTAACAGTGTATACTTGTTAAAATGTATATACATGACTAATTTTAAAACATAGAACTAGAATTGGGTTCCATTCAATCTTTGGCCAACTAAATCTTGAAGGGGACTGGGTATGCATTCAATGTAACAGCATTCACAAGTCCAAAAAATAATGGGAAGTGAAATGATCTCAAGCTCCAGATTTTGACATGAATCCTCAAGAATTTCTCTGGAGTAGTCTGGCTGACTAAAGTATTTTGTTTTGTTGGGTTTTTGTTGTTTTTGCTTTGGTTACATTGGAAAAGTGAAGTAAACAGGAGGGTGTGGTCTTTTCAGTAGGAAAGATTATATTCAAAGTATGCTGGTGAGCACTATTTTACTTAGATTGTGTACATAAATAAATTTTTGTTCTTAAAATTGGCCCTAGGCACACTGATTTTCATAAAACTTAATATAGTCACATCTGGTCAGGTCAATTTGACTTACACTCTAATACCCTCTCAGTGAGATTTTCTTTTTTTCTTCTCCCCTCTAGTGAAAAACTAGATTTAAAATTAAGCAGTGAGGGCCCTCCCTGGTGGCGCAGCGGGTTAAAGCACAGCACAAAGAAGCTTAAGCCACTTCCGCATGAGTTTGAACCCCGCCTGCCCCGGAGGAGATCCACATGGCGAGGCAGACCTCTCCTGGCCCGCCCACTGCTCCCCTCAGTAGTGTACTTTGTCGATCTGCCTGTTCTGCTCCCCACTCTGT